AATTTTTAGTTTACAGCAACTTCATTTGTTCGATACTAAAGAAGTGAGAATGACCTGGAGTATGGTTTTGATAAGATTAAGACAAGCAACAGTATCAAAGCGATTTATTGAAGCAGCACTCCTTATATAGGGCAGGACTTGGAAAACTGCTTGTTTTGTCACTGTTCTCATACCTGGAACGAGTGAACAAGCTTGCAGTTGCCTGATTACATGGCTAAGCTCTCCTTGAAGATTAGCTCCACTAGAATTCTTGAGAGCCTCCAGCATATTCTCCACATCTACGGTGCCATCTCCTTCAGCATCAAATTGTGCAAAGGCCTGAAGGGGAACAGCAAATCAAAATTTATTTCAGCATATTTACTTCAAGCAGAAATTCAAGGTATAGAAACTGTAGCAGTAAACATTACACCGTTATTAAATAGAAAAACCCAAAAGAATCCATTTTCCATAGCATTGAGTTAATGACAACAGGAAACAGCCTGGCTGGGAAACTGCACTGTTTAGCAAGTTTTATGGAAGTTGCACTGCCTTCGTATAAAAGTCAACTGTAGTTATGCTTAGGTGGAGACAGTACATCATCTACACAGTGAATCAGCAGTATCCATCCAGCCGACATCTGTGACTACGAAGAAGGTGCCCACAAAAGAACATTAAAAAGCTCTTCCATTAAAGGCTGAGCTAGTTCTAAAAGCCATACCATCCATTACTCATTACTGCTGCATCCATCTCACACTGCACCCACTCAAATTTTTTCAGGTTTTAAATATTTTCTTTATTTAAGAAAGTGTCCTTAGAACCAGAGTATTTTTTAAAATGTGTATTTCCTTCCATATATAGTCCTCCTACACAAAATACCAGTTTAACACAGTTTGTCAAAGTATTTGTGAAAACAATGGAGAAAGTTAGAAAAGATTTTTTTTTTTTCTTATTGAGAAGAACCATGGCCAGCTTTATTAACTCTGACCTTAACATAAATTTTTAACATAAAAAAGTTGTGTTGAGCATGTATAAAAAGTAACAGACACAGTTATGCATTTCACATCTTTGCACTAACAAAAGTACAAGATGTTTTTATTCAGCTAAGCCTATAAAACAGAACCAAGCTCATAAACCTAAATTTTTTTACCTAGCCACTTAAGAGAACTCATGATCTGGTGATGCACTGCTATTAAAATAAACTAGCTATATTTTTACAATCATATTTAATTTTGAAACAAACTTCTGTTTAATTGCTAAAAAAAAAAAAAAAACCTGAACATACCCCAAAAAGAAAATCAGTATTTCAGGAGCATCTATTTTCTTCATATAAATTGGGAACGCACTTACAAAAGACATTTCTTTACAAGCAAGACTTTAGTCTCCCAGCCCTGAACTTGGTATTTCAAGTTCAGCTACACAGCCAAGGAAGCGTGGCCTCTAAGAACAGACCATCTCACGGGCGCCTGGCGGAGTCAAGCGATCACTGCTGTGCGGGAGGAACATTATGCTTGAATCTCTTGGTTTGCTACCTGACTATCAATCTTGATGTACCACTAAAAGCACTACCCTCGAGAGAAATAATCTGAAATGATTAGATCAAAATAACCTGCCAATTAACCATGGCATAATTACACCACTTAAATGAGAGCAAAGTCCTCAGAAGACAACAGAATAGAATGCCGTGTTGTAGCTGACTAAAGCTCCGACGGCATTTCTGTGGCACAAGGCTGAATTTTAGCTTAGCAGTTTCATAAACTCTTGTTAAACATACAGCTGAACCCATGCTACCAATGATCACCTTTAAAAGGGTTATTCTTAGCAGCAAAGGGACCGGCACTGGGCACCCAGAGGTACCACAGCCAGTACAGATGACTGATGCTGGGCATCAGCTAGATCCCAAAGCAAAAAAAAAAAAAAAAAAAAACAAAAAAAACCCAAAGACCTTTGCTTGAGGATGACAATACTGAGGGAATTAATTTTAACAAACATAACACAGCTGTCAAAACAATACAATGTGCAGTTTCGCACCACGTCATTCTTGCTACTGTGACTTTTTCTCCTCACATCTGAAGTCAAGGCGTGCAATTACTAAAATACAAAGTGAACAAGCAAGCAAGTTTTGTGATGTTACTAGCGAAAACAAACCACATGCAAGACGATAAGGCTGGCTCTGCTGATAGCTATTTTAAAACAATTTCTTATACTTTCATGTAAAGAGAGATTACCACACATATGCTTTTCTTTGCATCTTAATGCAGTATTTTGTTATTTTATTTTCAAACTCTTCCTATGATCCCAGGAGAGTGTATTGACCCTAGCACCCTAAAGTAATTTTTTTAACTGTTCAGTATAACTTAAACTCTGTATTTGACACAAAACCAATTTCCACTGCTCAGACAAGGTGCCCTGTGCAATGGGGGTATAAGCAATCAAAGAAAAAAAAAAAAAATCAGTACACAAACCTGTACTCTGAGCTTTTGATTTGTGTTCATGACTGGGGGAACATGATACAAGTGCAGTAGCAGCTTTACCACAACCCAGCTGCATTCTGCTCCTAAATAACAGCATGAACTTCCTACCCAGTTCAACCTTGCACGTGAAGAAACATAAAAGACACATATTTCCTGGGAAATGATGGCTAAGGCGATCGCTAGGAAATGCAGAGCATGGAAAAATCACCCCTCGTCTCACAGAGAGCTCAGGAGTTGGACAGCGTGACAGAATATCTGAAGTGTGACTTGGGAAAACTCTGCATTTCATCCTGTGCTCTCAGTAGAGCTGCAGCACTGATGTTTCAGGCGGAAGTTGGATACATCACAGGATAGCTGCTGAAGTACTAATGAATAAAAAAGGATTCACGGGTTCAGTTTATCTAGAAAACTGATTTTGCATTTAAACAGAGGTTCATTTTGCCAATAAAGCATTCAAAATATGTGTTCACAAGCCCCACCCTGAGAATAGAAAAACTTAATGGTCAGATCAAAACACTCTATGCCAGACAGGATTTTACAAACATTAAAAAGTGAAACCTATTGACCTGCCACCCACAAACTAACTTCTCAGCGGTGTAAAATACATCCTGGAAATCTAAAGTACTACAGCCCATAAGCTAGTACCAGTTACAGAAACAATGACATCAAGGTTTTCCACACAGCTCCCAATGTTTCGACTTCCTGGGATATGCTAGGTGTGACCACATTGCCATACCCTGATAAATCCTTTGACAAGTTTTTTCCCCACTCTGGAGAGGAGGATAAAAAAAAAAAAACCAAACCCAAAACAAACCCCCATATTCTTCATGCAGAGGAAGATGTGCGATACAGACAATCCTCAACATATTTCTGCAGCCCACAAAGCTCAGTTGTTTGTGTAAACAGAAAGAACCCTGATACACAAATTTCACTCTTACTGTCGGTACAAATGAAGAGCTTTTCTTTATTGGCTCTTGTAAAGGAACTGGAAATGGAGGCCGCATTTTAGCAAGCTACTTAAAACAGTCTGGTACAAACACACCTATCTGTACAATAAAATTAATCAATTCCCGGTTTCCAGTAGTCTTGTTAATATGTCAGCACGGATTTCAAGGAGCGCATGTGCCATTTAAGAGCCTACCAAGTTATTCTACTACTTAGGAGCGATACAAAGGGAGAAGGAAGTTACTGGTGAGAATCGGGAACTGCATGCAGTAAGAAATTCAGACACAACTACTTTCTCAACTGAGTGTGAAATTCCCAACAGGGTATTCTACTGCATTTTAAACGCTAGCTAGAGAGGAAAGCTAAAGCTTAAATGTTCTAGATGTTAAGTTCTCCACAACCCTTCCCACAGCAGGAAGGAAGCGGCACTCTCTTCTACCACTAAAACCTTACTCTTAAGACCTTTTGCCTGCGGAGGGGGAACTCTGCTACACCACTTTCTCACAAGTTTTCCAAAGCTCTTACTTTACGATAAGTAACGAGATACTTGACCGCTTCACTGCCGACTGTGAAAAGCAATACTAAAATTAAGTCTGGTAAACTCCGAGTTGCCGACACCACCAAGGAGAATCCCAGAGGAATTACTTGCACAGAACTTCCTGCCTGTGCTACCAGCAGCTGCAGCAGCGGTAGCAACGGCAGAGACAGCGCTGCAAGTAACCGTTCTGCTCAAGAGCGGCTGCCGAAAACAGGCGTGAGTTGTAAAAATAAAAACACGCAAGCTGCCAGCCTGCCCACCGGCGGCAGGAGCCGCTTTTTCAACCTTGCGGCAGCACCCTCCGCCCCGGCCTGGCCCCAGTCGCCGCTCCGCTGCCCCCGGGGCTGGGGGGGGGCGGCTCCCCGGGTCCCCCCCCCGCCGCTCCGCTTCCCCCCCTGCCCGGGCCGAGGCCCGGGCCCGCCGGCCGCCCCCTCACCTCCTCGCTCTCGCCGCGGGAGCCGGCTGCCAGGCGGGAGACGCTCTCCAGCACCTCGCAGAACTGCTCCAGGCTGACGGCCTCGTCGCCGCGGCTGAGCCGCTCCTCCAGCCAGCGCACCAGCGTGCTGTGGTGCCGCGACACCAGCGACTCGGGCAGCGCCGCCTCCCGCAGCCTCGCCGTGGCCTCCCGCAGCCGGCCCTGCTCCAGCAGCACCTCGGCGGGGGGCAGCGGCGGCGCCGGGCTGGCGGCGGCGCCGGGCGAGGCGGGAGCGCCGGGCTGAGGCGCGGCGGCGGCGGCGGCGGCCGCCCCCTCCATGCCTTCCTCGGCGCCCTCCTCCTCCTCCTCGCTGCTGTGGCTCGCCGCCGTCCCCATGAGCGTCTCCCTTCTCGCTCCGCCGCTGAGTCAGCAGCTCCCGGCCCCGCCGCTGCTGTCAGCCCCGGGCCGGCGGCGGCCGCGCCACACTGCCGCCAAGCGACACCCGCCGTAAAGCGGCGCCGGGCGAACGGTCGCGCGTTGCCGTCCCTCCCTCTCTCCCCAGCGGCGGAGCAGCGGCCACACTGCCGTCAGCCGCGCCGCCGTGCGGCGAGGAAAGTGTCGCGAAGAGGGGCCGGGGCGGGGCGGGCGGGGCGGCCCCATGCGGCGGGGCGCGGCGGCGGCGGCGGCGGCGCTGCTGGGGCTGGGGGCGGCCTGGCTGGTGGGCCGCGGGTTCGAGTCCCGCGGCCGCCTGCTGAGCGCCGCCGAGCTGGCCCGGTACCGCGGGGCGCCCGGTGACCCCGGTCTCTATCTGGCCGTGCTGGGCCGTGTCTTCGATGTGCAGCGCGGCCGCGGGCACTACGGCCCCGGCGGTGCCTACAGCGGCCTCGCAGGTAGCTCCGGTGGGGCGGGGGGGGGGGGTGTCGGGGGGAGCTCCGTGCCTCCCAGGGAGGGGCTCGGCGGGGCTGTCGCGGCGTGGCGGGAGGGGGCTCACCGCCTGCCCGCCCCGCAGGGAGAGATGCCACCCGCGCGTTTGCCACCGGGGACTTCACCCACGCGGGGCTGGTGGACGATGTCTCGGCGCTGTCGCCCGGCGAGCTGCTCGCCATCCAGAGCTGGCTCTCCTTCTACGGCCACAACTACGAGCCCGTGGGTAGGTGGTCCTGGCCGTGGGTAGGTGGGTACTGGCCGTGGGTAGGTGGTCCTGGCCGTGGGTAGGTGGTCCTGGCCGTGGGTAGGTGGGTACTGGCCGTGGGTAGGTGGGTCCTGGCCGTGGGTAGGTGGTCCTGGCCGTGGGTAGGTGGGTACTGGCCGTGGGTAGGTGGTCCTGGCCGTGGGTAGGTGGGTCCTGGCCGTGGGTAGGTGGGTCCTGGCCGGCGTGGGCGAGGGGAGGGGGGTGCAGCACGGCGGGGGGAGGCTGTGGGGGGGCTGGGGGGGGGGGGGGCGCAGCGCCGGGTTTTAGCTACAGGACATCGGCCGTGGGGAGAGCCGGTGTCGCTGGTGGGGGGACCGGCACCGCTGGGCGATCCCCCGGAGCTGCTGCTCAGCCAGACCCGCTCGAGGGCTGCTTGCCCCTAAGGCGAAGCTGAACAGTTTTTCCAGCCCCGGGCTGTCAGCTGCAGCTCCCTGCCCTGCTTTTCTTCATCTCTGCTGAGCAAGAGGCGAGGAGCCAGTGCCGCAGGTACTGGAATTAGCGGGGCTCTGGAGACTGTCGGAGCCAGCAGTGCAAGGAAACTGTTTTGGGGAGTGAGGTGCCTGAGTGGCAACGGCTTCTGGGTTCTGCACCCTAAAGTGGCATTGAATTTTTGATCTTTAACCAGTCCGTGTCTAAGCTTGTCCTGCGTGGATTTATTAATATGGGCACATTGATGTATGAGCCAAGAATGGAAGGGATGCAAGCTCAGTTCCGCTTTAAAATTGGGCCATGGTGAGATCCTCCTTTTTTCTGTCTTTAGATAACAAATTTAAAAAAAAAAAAAAAAAAACAACCAAAAACAAATAACAGGAACTATTCATTTTCCTTGCCTGGAAACACTGTGGTCTTAACTGATTTTCTCTCCCAGGGAAGCTGGTGGGCAGATTCTATGATGAAAACGGGGCCCCGACAGAAGCCTTAAGGCAGGCTGAGGCTGCGATTGAAGAAGCGCTGAAATTCCAAGAAGAAAGTGAGCAGAGGAAGCAGCAGTTTCCACCCTGCAACTCTGAATGGAGCTCTGCTAAGGGCAGCCGATTCTGGTGCTCCAAACAGAGGTAAATTCTGCCTCCCCACCACCGTATTTGGACCCTCTGTAGCAGAGCATTTCTGCCCTTTGGATGCCCTGAGCTTTGTCACTGCCTTTCCTAGCAGGGGGGGTGTAGGAAGGTGTCCCGGCTCCCGCAGCCTCCGCGCTCCCTGCTCTGTAGGTGAGGGCTGCTGGCTTCTCCGCAGAAGGGCGAAGGTTGGTGGGAATGTGCCGAGCGCTGGCGTGGCTGGGATGCGCCGCGCTCGGTCCCTTCCCCGCCCCGCGTTCCTCAGGCTCTGCGCTCTGGCAGAGGCAGAGCCAACTTGCAAGGAGCAGCGGTGCCGCTCCCCCTGCGCCAGGTTGAGCCGCTGCTGCTGTGTGAATCGCAGTCACTAGATTTTTCTCTGCCGGTACAGGAACTGCCGGTAGCCACCACCCGGTCTGGAGTTGCACAGAGGTGCAGGTTGGGCTAGCAAAAACGTCCTCCGGTGCGAGGTAGCGGAAGGGAGCTCCGCTCACTGACCTGCTGAGCGAGTGAAAGGAAAATAAAGTTCCATCCTGATCACCGATACTTTTAGGAATTTTATTTCAGAGGCAAAAACTCTTCTGTCACACTGGAATCAAAATCAGGTTTCAGAATTTGCCACAGGTGCACGTGATCCTTCTGTTCTGAGGAAAATAGGACAGAAATGCCACTAGGACCATCTGCATTTGAGCAGGTTTTCTCACCTATCAGGAATGAAAGGATTAGCTGGATTTTTTTCAGACAGTTTCGCAGCCTGCCTCACAGGCAGTTTTTACTTAAAACCGCATAAAAATGAGGTTGAGCTCTGAATAGTCATTTTCTACTTGGCCTACTTAGTTTTATTCCTCTCTCAGTTTAGGAACTATTTTGTTTTAAGATTAAATCATTTCACAGACCACACTGCAAAATGCTTAGTCTTCATTTTGGTACATGAGTAGCACTGGGGGATCCACTTCTACGTGTGAATGTGCTTGGGTGCAGCCTCGGGACTGGGTGTTGTAAATCTCTTGTGTAAGACTTTAGAGGCTTAAAAGATGCAGTAGTTAGGGGAACAGGCAGGATTTGGCCCATAAAGAGACACTAAGAAGTAGTTGCGGAAGTAATTGAGACTTTTTTTTTTTTCTTTTGCCCTAGTTCTCAAAATCATTGTGTTCAGTCACGGAACAGAAGGCGGCGTGTGGTTATCTGTGAGCAATTAGCTACCTCCAAAAGAGGCCTTTTGCCATTAGACACGCTGCACTGCATAAGGCTCCGATTCCTTTTCCAGCAATAGAAACGCGGGAAGCAGAAGCAGGTTGCTCCCAGAAGGGTGAGAGGATATAGCAGCGCTGATGAAACCAGGCTCAGGCCATGGGTTTCTGAAGCACAGCCAAACAAAAAGGTATCAGAAAGCTGTGGGATGTTGGCTGCTGGGACCAAAGTCAACCTCAGTGAGTGTCGTTAGTTCTAACTCTCGCAGATTGTCTTGTCTTTTAACTAATGGTTCTCAATTCACTGGAAGCATTTTCCCGGGTTTGAATCGCACTTTGTTTTAATTTTCCATTTGTAGCGGAGGAGTGCCCAGAGACTGGGCCGGGGTCCCTCGGAAGCTGTACCAGCCCGGCTCGAGGGGGAGTCACTGCGTGTGCGTGAGGACCACGGGCCCCCCGTGGGGCCAGCCGGAGCCCGCGGAGCACGGCGACAGAGGGGATCTGGATCACCCGCAGCTGGAGGAGTACGACGGCTGCCATCCCCTGGCCCAGCAGTGCGTCCTGGCGCTGTGACCCCGGGCGCTGGCTCCGCGCGGGGCGGGGGGGCCCGCGGCGCGGCGGGTGGGCGGTTGCAGCGCCGGCTCCGTTCCCTTCCGTCTGTCTGTGCGAAGGGAGCAGTAACAATTTTTGACTCTCTTTTACCTCTTTTGGCTCTCTTTGACTCTCAGTATTTGTGACTCTCTTTTAACGCGTGGAGCTGAGAGAAAGAGGAAACGCTTTAACCGAGTCGGTGGCTGAACCGCGATATTTTTACATCTGGCAACAAACTGTAAGATGCATGGCCTGAATTATATGTAAAAACTGATTTCTTGCGCAGTTGGGAAATAGCTGTTTGTGTGCACGGCGGCAGGTGCGACGTGTTGTGTTTCAGGCAGCGAGGTGGTGAGCACAAGAACTGCTGCAGCATCACCGACCTCAGTTTATGCAGAGCCCTCCGGTTGCCAGAACTCTGCCTATCGCACTAATACCCCTTCCCCGTCACCTGATTGACCCCAGAGAGTCTAAAGGTAGCAGGGAGAAGCCTGAATTTCTCCTACAATTAAGGTACATAGTATCTAGGAACTTGTGCAGTTTAGTTAAACACAAGCTTTATCAAAATCTTAGCGTACAGAAGGCAAAGGTCATAACTGTATTTCCTCACGCCGTGTTTGTATTAGATACTGTGCAAAGCAGATAGTGGAAACCACCTGTGACAGTCGTTGTTTCATATTAACCTCACCATCCCGGTCCTCTGATTCACTGCTGTCAAACTGCTCGGGTTAGGAATTGCTGGTTTTAAATAGACACTAACAAAAACGACACAACCACCCTGATGTAAGCTGCCATTTCCATTCTGGCCTGTGACCTCCTCCCATCTGAGGACACACGCTCTCAGGCTGGACGTACCCTCATAACACCCAGCTCCCTTAAATTCCGTACCTATTTTTTTTGCAGCTGGTAACATTCAGCACTACGAGCGACTCCTAAGAGTCATTGCCATTTCTGTGTGGGGCTGAAAAGGACAAGGGAATGCTGGTGTAGGGCCTAGGTGCTAGGAACACCAGGCTGCAGGGAAGCAGTTGCTGTTTTACCTAGAATCTCATTAGGATCAGCTTCTGGTGCCGCCGCAGCCTTGAGAGCAGCACCCCCCTTACGCAGCATCCAGCAGTGGCCCAGCGCCGTGCTGTGTTCAGTTCTTTTCCTTAGGGCAGCTGCCATCAGTTTTGAGTTAGTTTTGAGCTACTGCAACCTCTAAAGAATGTCCCACAGATGCAAGTCATCAGTTAGTAACTAGTAAGATTACTGGAAGCCTGGAAGCATTGCTCCAAAGCGAGAGTAATTACTTCCTTGCGGCAGCAGTAGGATGTAGTACAGCACTTTTCAGCTGGGAGGGTTGGATGAGGCTACAGGTGCCATGGACCAGAGCTACACAGCAATTTAACAGGTACATGGTTGTTGAAATAAATGTTCCAGGGTTTGTGTGTTGGATTTTTTTTTTTCCACTTGCTTCTGTCTTTTCTTCATCTTGAAGTTCTGCAAGACACTTTAAGGCAGATGTACCAGCTCTTAGTGGTCCTCAGTGGAGGTTGTAGGTGTAGCCACGGGGCAGTAGAGCCCCACAGAGTGTTAAATCCCCACTCACTCTTCTAGAACTGAAACTCAGCCCTGAGCTGGTGCCAGCTTTGGGATTGGAGTGAACTATACATTAACAGTCCTTAAAATAATGCTGCGTAAAATCTGCAGGCAAGAGCTGCAAAGCAGCAGTTTATCTCCACACATTAATGGGCAGCGTAAGTATCAGCATATAATTCACTGTTGGACATGTCTTCTTTAACATGAAGTTGGATTTAGAGATCAAACCATCTCTAAAAGGTGCATCAAATTTCAGATTATTAAATACTGTAAGAAGTAGTCAGTGTCACAAGTTGGAGTGCGAGTGAAGATCTGTCAGCTGGGGAACATCTAGGCAAGTTTAATCTTTGTAATGCTCGAGTACTCTGCAAGTAGTGCTGAAAGGCTGAGGGGAGGGTTTTCAGCTTAAGAGCAACACAAATCAAAGAAGCTACTGCAGAAAGGCAAGAGGGGATTGTACTGCTTTAAGGTAAAGTGGGTTGAAAACCAATTCAGTTTATTCTTCAATTTAGTGTGGGGGGAAGTTTGTCTTCCATGAGGAATAAGTCATCTATTAAAGCAAACAAGGAGACTCCCTCACTGACCTGAAGTGCTCCAAGACTATCTTGTTTCTACTCTAATTCAAAAGGTCAGCTACATTCTCCCATGGTAAAAAAGGGTGGGAAGAAAATAGCGATAGATAGACAGGGCTCTAATAAAGCTCACCATTCATCCATACTTTAAGTTTTTTATTATTAAAAGACTAATGCATCTGAGCTGAGAACTGATTTAGTCCGTGAACCAGCTCTGGCCTGGAGGAAGTTAGGATTGTTTCCTAAGAATGATCACAGGTAAGTCTAGGATAAGGCGTTCAAGATGACTATAGGGTATGAACTAGAACACCAGACCTTGTCAGCCAAAGGAACAGTTGTAGCAGTTCCACGATGTTAAAATGGATACCTGGAATAATTACAGAAGAACAAAGTTGTCATGCCCAGCTGAATGCTATAGCCCGTTTTCCTTGTGGCTTGTAAAGGATAGCTTCCAGAGGGGCAGCTGTGCCTACAGGTAAACATACTTTCTTAACAAGGTTTCCACCTCACAGTGCATTAGCTAGGTATGCATTTTATTACAAGTAGAATCATTACACAACGAAGTAATGCATATTGGAAAAATACATTTTTACAATGACTCCAGACAAACATTGCAGATAAAATGCCATTGTTCTAAGACTTCCTTTTCTATTTCACAGAGGGTATTAGAAGGTTCAGTTATTTTTGTCACTCATACAAGCTTTGATTCTTCTAGAGATGAGTTTGCGGCAGAACCCAACTCTACCGGTTACAGGAAAAAGAGGGCTTACCTATTAACATTTGATCTACAAAAAGTCCAGCCTTGGCCTCCCGTATTGTTACATGTTAATTTATAAGCACTAGGTGAGAAGTTGTACAAGCAGTTGCTCTCCAGCACAGGAAGTCATTAAGGCATCTGTCAGCTTTCAGCCGGCAACTGGCGATGCTCTGGTAGTACCTTCAACACTGACCTTCTCACTCCGCTTAGTGGTGTGAAACAGTGACTACACCTTTTTCAGATCCACAGATTAAAACTTAAGCCAGACCACATTTTGTGCTTGTGTAAGAGTGCTGGATGACTGCAACCAGAAGGAATCCAGGCTCCGAACAAAAAGCTACAGTATGAACCACCACAGACTTCCCGCGCTGCCCTGCTGAAGTGCCTGACGCCTGGTTTGACAGCACCGCTTCCCAGGGACAGAAGTTTGGTTTCCATTTACCCTTCTGTACAATGCTTGGCAGACTTGCATTTCAAGTTAATAGATACCACTTGAAGACAGCAGGGGTAAGGAGGGTGGGGTTTTTGGTCACAACTGTAATATGCTACAAAAAGGAAGAGTAGTTGTTTATGGAGTTAGAAATGTGTTGACCACCACTATGTTACCAAGTGCCTCCATTCACAGTTGTACCCTGCAGTGGAGCAGTGCCAGCAAAACTCCCCCCAAAAATCTCAGGGGTCTGAGAGTTCAGACCAATACTAGGCAGAGTGCGTAAGGGGTTGAGCCCCACCAGCTGTTCCCTGGGGTCAACCTCTTCAGTTGAGCTAGAAGAGAACTCGGGTTTTGGTTCAAGGTGTGAGCCTTTCTCCTTGAGCTCTGGCAGAAAGCTATTTAGAACTAGTTGGCTGGAAGGAAACTATCTCAAAGGCACTTTAAAATGATCAGATTTGCTGAATTTAGTTGCTTTAAATTTAATGAATGCTTCAGGCCATACAATAGTTTATCAATAACCTTCCTTTCAGACTTCAGTAAGAAAGCTGGTACAGTATTGGCTGAAAACAACAAACTAGGAGCATTACATATGGTTTCCCAGATTCTCCCCAGAGCTTCAGACAGTTATAATTAATATTCTACTTTTAAAAACAGCAACTAGCCAGCCTTAAACTTGCCATTCAGTTAAGCTGAATTTTCACAAGGTCTACATTTTCCATCATTTAAAAAGTTGCTGATTCTGTTAGAACTGAGCTCCTGTTCCCTTGGCCCCTTCCAGAGAAGTCACTGAAAAAGTGATATTTAAATGCTTTAGTGATTACATGGTGCAGATTTCCAATTAAGTTGAAGTCCACTGGCTGTGGCCTTGGAAGGACACTACCACCACCTTCAGTATTCTGAGCACACACTTATCACTCCACAGCTCTGCAGCTCCAAACCAAGAAGGAAGTCAACATGTTACAGGATACACTATCATGAAACCTTCTCTCACCAAATGCACTCTCTCTCCATTGTTACCTTTCGCTGCTTGAGACTTGCAACCAGTGATATTCTGAAACATCCGAAAGCAATGGACTGGAAGTACAATGTTTTCCATCATCTATTTCACTCAAAAACCCAAACTGTAACTTGCAGTTAAATGCTGCAGATGCCATTATTTTCCACCTCATTCACCTATAATATTTTGCCAGAGATGCACCATTTGTATTGGTAACTGTTAGAGAGACCAGTTGTGCTACCCAGGGCATTCTGTTGGAACATGACAGCAGCAGACATTAAACATTGAGGGAAATCTGTATTATCATTCTTCTCTAGTGTTACAAGGGTGAGATTCCAGCTATAATAGATGCATATTGGAAGATCAAAGTGCAGATCAAGTGAGACTCAATGTGAAATTCATCGTGCAAATGTCAACAATTACACCCTCTCCCATCCTTTTCTTGTACAAGTCTGAGAAAAAACCTCAGGCAAGTTTCCCATAAAAGCAGCAGTCTGGTTTATCATCTCACCTTACTCTAAGACTGACAAGTCACTATTCCAAGCAGGGCAGCGTGTCACCAACTTGTCCATATTGTACACTGGAGATAACAGTCATTAAGTAAATGCACACCAGTTCCTGGAGTGGAGATGAGGAATGCTGAGTTGATTCTAAACTAGGTTCATCACTTGGGACGAAAACAGTCTTAACATGGCATGTAGTTTTGCTTAAGTACACATTTTTTTCCTGACTGAAGCCTTTGCCCACCAAATCATACCCTCATCTATCAGCAAAGTACTTTCTTGTTTACCTAGACAATGTGGTGTTGGATTTTTAAAGATTCAGCATGTTTAAGAGAGCGCGACCAGCCTGGATTAAAACACAGCTTAATCCAAATGCCTGGTACCGCACTGCCAGTTCAGAATCCTTCCTTCGAGGCCAGAGGCTTAATGTTAACAGGAAGCTTCCAAATACACTCCCGCTCACCAGCAATCCTGCTGAAAACGGACCCAAGCTTAATGTCTAGAGGTGCAGCACATTCTACACTGGTAGGATTACTGGCTCTCCTGCAGCAGTTAACCAGGGTCTTTAAACCAAAGGAAAGTGCTACTCTCCCTCATGGGATTCATAATGCACTTCAGCATTTATTGCTGTATTGCAAGTTCGACTACTTAACCAGTTTTAGTGTTTCTCCATTTAGCACATGCTTAGGCCTTGCAGCACACTTATGTTCATTTACACAAGTTTCATGAATTGGAAGGACTAGCAATGTAAATATGAAAGTGCAACAAAGTAGACTTTGACAGCTCTAGCAAGTACGAGCAAGAGTATTTACTGGCTAAAACCATCTTGCACTTCTCTTGAACATGCCAAAGCTAATGAGATGTTTACTGAGGAGGTATCAAGATGTGGGTCTGCAATTCTGACTGCTTTGCATCAGATGTTGTAAAGCTTTCTGTTGTAAGGCCACAATTCTTGAGCTATGCTTAGAACTACCCCCATTTTTGAAGAGTTTCTTGAAATGAACAGTGGTTGCAACAGCTCAGTCTAGCTTCACAAGAAGTCTTCTCTAGAGAAAGGGAACATTTATCTTTAAGACAAAGCAAAGAAAGATACCTGGTTACCCTGAAACTTAATGCCATCTCTACTAAGCAGCCTGAAAGCCACAGGACTTAATAGAGTTGCTCAGTGCAAAGCACCATATCAAGGACAGACCTGTTTTATGTCAATTCAAACATCAGCCTAACAATTTTAGCTTCCATACCCCACTGCAACTAGAAGAGGGTCTAAATTCTTTTGTCACTTGGTTTCAACGATCCACTCGAATTCCTAGTGAAGTCTATCACAGCCCAATACATTTACAGTCGTACAAAGTCATTTATACCAGAATATATCGTAACAGGGTCCTTAATTAGTTCAGTCTATTGCAGAAGACACGTATAGGCCTCCTCTTCCCTATCCAGAGGGCTTGTAAGCAGAGCTGCTGTCAGGAGCACTGACCGGGAATCCCTTTACTTCCACAGCATACTAGGAGACTCCTCCCAGAGTCAGGACATCAAAGCAGATGTTGCAAACTCGGACTGGCTTGTTCAGATCAAATTTTATGATGGGAATCTC